GTTGTTGCCAGTAAGGCTGGGAGGCTCCAAAGTTGAGTCCATCATTCAATTGTTGTCAGCCACTAATACAGCTAAAATATAACTTCAGAGGAGAGGCTCATAAATCCGAGACGAGACGATCTTCATCAAGTGGCTATACGGTAAGCGTGGGCACCGAAGGGTTCAGTCTTGAGGGCTCAGGGTTTCACTTGTGGGTCGACCCACTGTACTCCCATTGGAACAGCTCGGACCTACTGAATACTTCGCTACAAAATAGCTAGGACTGGACCTGTAAACCGACTGAACATCAAACACCATCATCGTCTATGGTGCTATCCATCGACGGCGATGAATCATTGAGATTCATTGAGCGCTGTGGGCTCGAAGACGTTGTTGTAGCGGAATATCATTTTCGTACTGTTCGCGCTTTTTCGTTCATGTTCATGCCGAAGTCTTCTTTGGAAATTGACGCTGCTCTATTAAGTATAACACGACGTTATGGTTGTTTTAGCTAACTAATAGCTTTTTAGGTAAAAGCAGCCGAGCATGTTTTGCCTACAGGGATTCAACCGGTACGTTTCTCATGTTTATCAAAACCTAAAAAGATCTTGATGTGTATTGTACCGTGCTAAATTCTTATGTTGGTCCAAATGTGTGTTGAAATGGGGTGAGACTTCAGGATTTCAATTTTAAATGTCCTAAAAATCCTCTCAGAATGTTGCAGCACTGTCCATAGCTTCCAAAAATCATTTCATGCCCTAACAGCCTCACTCTGGCCTGATATAATTGCTTCTTGAGCTCTGGGGACATGGGAAGGAAGCCAGTTGCAGTAGAAACCTAACAAACAAAATGCCAAAATGCCCAAGAAAATGTTTCTGTGACTGATGGGCCACAGGCGTTTCCCACGTTTCAGTGCATTCTCACGTAGACAGTGTTGAGAGGCATTCGATTGACGTCTGGGGGCCTATTCGCAGTTTAACATTGCCTACTGATTATTGATCACTAATAATGATATTTATCATTATTATTAGTTCATTTTATTACCAAAAAGAGTCGACGGCCTCAAATGAACAACTCTACCTTTCAATGTCGGGCTGAAGGTGGTTGCTGTAGACAACCCCCGCTCTTCTTGACTGTCCTATCGCCCAAAGACTCAGCAAACATAGAGCACAACAGCTTTTANTTGTTTTAGCTAACTAATAGCTTTTTAGGTAAAAGCAGTCAAGCATGTCGAGCATGTTTTGCCTACAGGGATTCAACCGGTACGTT